CATGCATTATTTGTCTTGCTATGTCTGGCTTATTTCCCTTAACCTAATAACCTTCAGTTCACCCATATTGTGGCAGATAATAGGATCTCCCTCTTTTTAAAGACTGAATAGTATTTCATTGTGTGTGTATGTATGAATATATATATATATATATACATATATATATATATATATAAAATTTTTAAAATCTTTTCATTGATCAATAGGCACTTATTAATTCTACATCCTAGGCATTTTGAAAAATGTTGAAATGAACATGAGAGTCTGGGCATCTCTTTGACATCCTAATTTCATATCCTTTGAATATATACCCAGAAGTGGGATTGCTGGAACATATGACAGTTCTAATTTTAATTTTCAAATTATTCTCTATACTGCTTTTCATAGCAGCTTCACAATTTTACATTCCCACCAACAATGTACAAGGGTTCCTTTTCTCCACATCCTTGCCAACATTTGTTATTATTTTTTTTCTTTTTGGCAATAGCCATCCTAACAGGCATGAGGTAATATCTCATTATGGTTCTAATTTGTATTTCTAAGATTATCAATGATATTTCTTATTCCCATTGTCCATTTGTATGTCTTCTTTGGAGAAATGGGTACTCAAGTCATTTGCCCATTACTTCATTAGTTTCCCCCACCATTGTATTAGTTAGCTTTTAATGGCTGTAATAAAAGTCTTGGCATAGAATAACTTTATAAGAAAGAAGGTTTATTTAGTTCATACTTTTTGGAGATTCAAAATCAGACAGCATGGTACAGATGGAAGATAGTGGAACATTTATGGAGGATTCTCATTCAAAAGCTGGGTGTGGCCAGGCTTGTTCCCATTATGATAATCCTTTCATGAGAACTAGGGACTTACAAGAGGTCTACCTTCCATGAACACACTTGTAAGAACTCAAGTATCTCCTGCTAGGCCCACCGCTTGAAATTTCTACCATTTCCAATACTGCCACGCTAAGATACATCCACATAACCCTTGAAAGATACAATTAAACCATATCCATACCATAGCTCATAATATTGAGTTGCTTGAGGTAATAGAACCTTTATCAGATATATAGTTTGTAAATATATTCTCCAAATCTATAGGTTGTTTATTCATTCTGTTGATTGTTTCCTTTGCTGTTCAAAGATTTTTAGATTGATGTAATCCTGTGTGTCTGCTTTTGCTTTTTTTACTTGTACTTTTAGGGCTATATTCAAACAATCCATAACAGACAAATGTTGTGGAGATTTTCTATTATGTTTTCTTCTAGAGGTTTTATAATTCTAGGTTTTATGTTTAATTCCTCAATCCATTTTGAGTTGATTTTCATTCATGGTGTGCGGTAAGAGCCTAACTTCATTTTTCGCATGTGAACATCCAGTTTTCCTAGGACCATTCATTGAAGAAAATATCCTTTTATGTTCTGGGTGTCTTTGCCAAAAGTGAATTAATCATACATATATGTATTTATTTTGGGGATCTCTAAACTGATCCTTTGTTCTATATGTTGTTTTTATGCAAATGTCATGCTGTTTTGATTATAACTATTAATTATATTTTGAAAGGCAGTTTGATGTTCTCCGCTTTTTATGTCTTGCTCAAGATTCATTTAACTATTTGGAGCTTTTGTGGTTCCCTATATATTTTTTCCACATCTGTGAAAAATATTGTTAGAATTTTGATTGGGGGTGCATTGAATCTGCAGACCCCTTTGAGTAGTATACACCATTTTACCAATATAAATTCTTCTAATACAAGAACATGATATCCTTCCATTCATTTTTTTTCTCCTACTTCCTTAATCAGTGTTCTATAAATTAAAGTGTACAGTTATTTTACCACTTTAGTTAAATTTATTCCTCAGCATTTTACTATGTATTTGCAGCAATTATAAGTGGGATTATTTTCTTGATTTCTTTTTTGGATAGTTTGCTATGTATAGTCAATAATCTACACTAGTATATACTAGTAGTATATGCTGCTGATCTTTGCAAATTGATTTTTGTATCTTTCAACTTTACTAAATTTGTTCATTAGTTTTATTTTAATTTAGTTTTTTGGTGGAGCCTTTAGAGTTTTCTACATATAATATTATATTATCTGCAAACAGGTGACTTTACTTCTTAATTTCTGATTTGGAAGCCTTTTCTTCCTTTCTGTTGCTTAATCACTAGGATTCTAGTACTATGCTGAATAGAAGTGGTAAGAATGGGCATCCTCATCTCTTCCTAATCATAGAAAGAAAGCATTTGAACTACTACTATTGAGTATGATGTTAGCCATCATCACTCATCATGTATGGCCTTTATTATGTTGAGGTATTTTCCTTCCATTGCTAATTTGTTGCACATTTTTTACATGAAATGATATTGAATTTTGTCAAATGCTTCAATGTCAACCACAAGTAGCAGCTTAGGGCCTTCTCTATTTCTTTGTGAGGACTGACATCATCACTGGCATATACTTGGTCTTTCAGAATCTAAGGAATATGTCAGAAATGTTCAAAGCCTCCCCATGGAAATCTCATTATCTAGCTTATGATTGTAAGATTTTCTTAATCTATTGTTTTCCTCAAGAGTTTCCCAATACTTCATGCATCTGTTATGCTAATTGATTGCCTGTATATATATATTTAATTCTCAGAGGGAAAAGGGCTTCACGATGTGCAAATTCTGAATAAAGTAAAATACAGACAGCCTTGTCAGTGGGGTCTACTAAGAATCTTCAGGAACATTACATATTGGCAAATTTTGGGGAATGAAGCTTTGAAAGAGCTCTAGCCCTGTTCTGCTCTCTCTGGTGGCAGCCAGAGTGTTTTCACTGGGAATGAGAACTGTTAATTTTCAAGGCTACAGCAGAGCTGGATACTGAGGGATGAGAATAATGCAAGCTAAAACACCACAAAGCTAATTTTTCCTTCTAAGATTCAGTCATTTTCATGAATAAATGCTCCCTTGGTTGTTGCAAGCTTTTGGTTAAATTCCAGAGTCCTTAAAAATTTGATTCTGACAGTTTTTGTCAGGTTTCTTGTTGCCTTTATGAGGAGATAATTATTAAGAATTTCTTTGCTACATTTTGTGATGCCTCCAAGCCATATTTTCTATTAAATATATAATTTCAATGTTCATTGTAAATATAGTTAGAAGAGACATGTATATTTCTGAGTAAAGAGGACATTTTTAAGTTGTCAATAAGGAAAAAAAAAATGGTATCTGATATGCATTTCAAAAATGCAGGTGTGATTGCCAGCCTCTAACATGTCCCTAGTAATTCTTGCTTCCTGGTTTTAGTCTCTCTTGTGAGTTTGTTCTCCCCATACTGAATCAAAGTTGATTTGTATAACCAAGAGAATGGTGTGGAGGTGATGGTTTTGTGACTTTGGAGACTAGTTCATAAAACACATGGCCACTTCCACCTTGATCTAGGAAAAACCTGTTGCTGTGTGGTGAGGACTCTTAAGACTTCTGGATTGGTCTGCGTGGAGAGGTGAGTGTTCTACCTAGAGCAAGCACTAACTTGCTTGCTGTGTGAGTGACCACCTTGCAAATGAAGTGTCCAGCCCCAGTCAAGCCTTCTAATGACTGTAGGTTCATGAAACATCTGGCTGAACTTTATGATAAAACTTCATCCATACCTACCCAATCACTCTTTTCCTGCATTTTGAAACCGCGAGATAATAAGTGTTTATTGTTTTAATCCACTAAGTTTTGCCATAATTTGTATCTCAGCAGTTGATTACTAATACAGTAAGCAGTTGAAACACATTTATCTACAAGGAGGTACAAATCCTCAAGAAGAAATTGAATGTTTTTTTAAAATTACTCAAGAAAGCACTGTTCTCATATAGTGGTAGGGGCTTTTACAATTACTGTATTTTCAAGGTTATATACAGAGCAAACAAGAAGATGAAAATTGGAAATATTTTCTATTCATTTTCTAAACAATAAAAAGCTCTATAATTAAATTTATTTCATAAAAATGATGAAACAAATAAAAATAATAATTTTTTAATGAATACAGATACAAAAATCCTAAATAATCCTGCCAAAACGTGGCATCTAGTAGGGAGTTCCAGAAATGCACTATACAGCTACACAGCTGCAATAATTTAGACCTGAAGTACTGGGATCAGAGTAGAAATGAATTGTTAGAAAATAATTTCAAGATATCAGAAACAGGCCACATCAATGTTAACACTAGTTATTAAATGGTCCATTCTTTCCATATGCTATTGAATTGTCTTTATCTATATTATATACATACATGTTGTATTAATAATGCAAATATGCTACATAAAATATTTTAAATTAATTATATAGTATAATACATGTCACTTACATTGAAGCATATTTATAGGCAGAGTATAGATATCTTTAATGTAAAAATGAATCTTAGCAAAAATCAGAGAATATTAAGTATCCTAGTTACAAAATAATTGAAAAGGGATGATAATCAGTTTAGAAAAGAAATTCAAGTAGAAAATTAGAATAAGAAATGTCAACAATAAAATATAATTTTATAAAATTTAAATTAAAAAAAGAAAATAAATGTCAATATATATTTTTAAAAATGCATTTTGCTGGCAATTATATAAGAAGTTAGTGCTTATCTTCTAACAAACTGTCAAAATTTTTCTAAAGAAGCAGTAACCAGTATTGGGTTGGATTGAAGGCAAAACATAGATATAATTAACAAATTTTCTGGAGATTATTTAGCTATAATATGTCACAATTTTTAATACTGACCCATAACTTTTACTTAATGCTTGATATATCGAATACTTTTTATTCTTGGAATTGCTTATTTGTGTTTTCTTTAAGTATGATTTTTTTAACAAAAGAAATACATTAAAAAACTCTTGTAAATTTTGCTTGTTCTTTCTCCTAGGAGGAAGTGAGTAGTTTGTTGCATAGAAGTGCAAAATTTATGTTGTTTTCCTTAGGAAAAACCCACATATTAACTTTGGTGTTAGTTTGTCCCATCACATCTGGAAGGTGCTACATACCTGCAAATAGCGGACCACTCGGCAGACCAGGTCAGGTGCAAGGAAGTCTCCAGTGAATCGCCAAATAATATCCGTCAAGATGTTGATCAGTCCCGTGAAAGAGTCTAACCAAACCAAACCAAACCAAAACAAAACAAAACAGTGCTTAATTGCAGTCTTTCTCATATTCATGGCTATACTGCCGTAGAAATGAATTCCTGGGGAGATCTTCTTTTTCTCTTGGTTTATCAGATGGCAACTGACAAAAATTACGGCCAACAGGAGGCCCTTGACTTTTCTTATTTGAGTTTGTTACAACTCAGATGGAACCACCTAGGAAGGATTTCAGCAATGACTGAAGAGGAATCAAACTAATCATAGAGTTGATCTTTTAAATCACAGAGGAAGAGTTTTAGGGGATCTAGTCCTATTTCAAACAAACACCGTGTGAGAATCAGAAGAAGGCAAAACTGAGAAAAGCTAAATGTTTACCATTTGGAACCATACCACCGCCCCCCTTACACTCTTTATTTTACAACTTAGTCTTCTTATCTCCCTAACTTCAGGTTCCTTTGCTTTATCCTCCTTTTGACATCTGTGCTTGGAAAAAATGAAGTGCATGATCTATCAATTTAATTAAATTGGTTGGTTACACTATAAGGGAACTGAGGCAGAGGTCAAGGACTTTGTTCTTCCGTGGGCAGCTTGCCTGTACTCAATCCTATAGTTACAGATTATACAAGTTGTACAGATGTCTACAAAAGAAATGGCAAACTATGATGGTGGTCTAAAAATTCCCTCTTTTCCTTCCATGACAGATACCACTAACTGGCTATGTGACCCAGAATCTTTTATAAACCAGTGCTTCAAAGGTTATCTGCTGATTGATTGATGGTTAGAATTGGAACATAAGACTGGAGAAGCAAGAATTCAATGACTTTTTCAGGCATAGAATGGAACAGAGGCAGGGCAAGTTTATTTCTAGGGTAGCTTTTAGAAGCCTGGAGAAAGTGATGGTCCTTCTTAAACAAAATGGAAATTCTGAAGTTGCTCCCACAGATAGTAAAGACTAAATGGTTAAAAGAAATGGGCATAGATATACTTTATGAAGCCAGAAGACCCCCAAAGAAATCTTTTTCATAAGAGGGTTTGAGAACCCGCACATATCATTCATTAAGACTACCAAAAGTGGTGAAAGGGACCCCAGCTTTACTAAACAGCTCAGTGGTGCTTCCATCACAGGCCAGCATAGGTAGTAGGAGAAGTGGTTACAGATACAGGTCTTGCAACACTGTGGCATGAACTGTATGATTCCCCTAGTCCTTCCCAGAGGGCCTTATGTGCATTTGTTTGCATGACTATAAACTGGGGAAAGAGGAAGACACAGACACTTTGAAGACTGTTAGGCACAGTATCTGGGTAGACACGAAACCCAGAGATCTGAGTGTTATTATGGCCTCATTGTTAGAGCAGAATCTTATGGGCCAGGTAATAAATAAAATCCTGGCTACAATAGGATGGTCCACGAGGTCTGCAGTCATTCTCCTTAGTTATTCCTCCAGTCCTTGAATGATTAATTGGAATAGATGTACTTGGCAGTTCAAGTAACCCCATTTTGGTTCCCCCATCAGGAAGGTCAAAGTGAAGTCCTCAATTCACCAGTTTGGTCCTTGCAGAAAACTAGGTGGATCCTGGAGAATAACTATAGACAGACCCAAACTCAAACAAATAACAGTCCTGATTGTGCCTGTAGTAATAGATGTGGTACCTTTACTAGAATAGTTGAGTATGGTCTCAGGTACACGGCACAAGGGAATTGATTTAGCAAGAGTGTTCTTTTCTAATCTGATCAGAAAAGAGGCTCAGAAAGAGTTTTCATTCATGTGGAACAGATAGTGCTATTCATTTACTATTTTGCCCAAGGCTATGTTAACTCTCCTAAGATCTGTCATAATAGGGTCTGAAGAAACCTGGACCATCTGAAAATTCTGCAGAATATCACTTTGATCCCTTTATATTGATGACATAACTGTGAAGGACAAGAAAGAGATGTCTAGTATATTAGAGGCTTTGATAAGAAATATACCCTCAGGAAGTTGGGAGATAAACTGAAAATTCAGGAACATGTCCTATCAGTAAAGTTTTGAGTGACTCAGTAGTGAGGGGCTGTGAGAATATCCACTCTCTTATTCCCACATAATAAATAAATTACTGTGTCTTACATTTCCTACCTTAAATAAGGAAGTAAGATTTCAATAAGGGTTCCTTAATTTTTGGAGACAACACATTGCACATCTAGGAATGTTACTTTGATTAATTTACTGGATGGCATGAAAGTCTGACAGCTTGGAGGGGTCTGAAGCAGGAAAGGGCTTCATAGCTTGTGTGCACAGCAGTATAATAACTGTCCTACTTGAGATAGATAATATGGCAGAATCTATAGTGTTGGAGATGTCAGTGGGGAAAGGTGTAGTTTGGAGTTGATGGACACCTGAGTGGGAGAATCAAAATGCATGTCCTAGATCTCTGGACAAGGCCAAGTCGACTGTAGACTAAAATTAATGTCTTTTTAAAAAATGTTCCTGAAATATTTCTGAGCTTTGATAGAGATAGAATTATTGATATCAGGGCACCAACAATATTTGGAACTGATCATATGAGCTAGATTTTGTTAGATATACTAATTTGTCAGGTCAGACAGAGCCAATAGCCATCCATCAGAATATGTGTATTTTAGTCAGCTTTTTCGTCACTGTGACCAAAAGACCTGACAAGAATAATTTTAGAGGAGGAAAGTTTGTTTGGAGCTCATGGTTTCACAGATGGCTAACTCTTGCTCAGGAACCAAGATAAGGTGGTGGGATGTGGTGGAAGAAAGCTGCTCAGGACATGGCATCAAGAACAGAGAGTGATTTTTACCCTACAAGAACAAAACATAAGCCCCAAAGGTACATTCCCATAACCTCCCTCCTCCACCCACACTATACCTGCCTATGATTACCACCCAGTTAATCCCTCAGATGGATTAATGCACACATTAGGTTAAGATCATTATAACCCAATAATTTTACCTTTGAACATTCTTGTATTACTTCATACATGATGACCTTTTGGAGAACACCTCATATCTAAACCATAAAAATGGGAATAGTACATCATATATGAAGTCTACACTAAACCAGATTGCCATGAGTAGGCAATGAACAAGTAGCTCAGATGCCCATATCATCCACCAGGGTTTCACAGTGGCACTGCTTCACTCATATTTATGGTGTTTAAGCTGAAGACAAAGGTTCGTCACTATTCTGTTGCAAAAAAAAAAAAAAAAAAAATAGAGGTACTGCATTACAGCTGCATTCAGGGTAGCCTTGAGGGACAACAAAGAAGGGAGAGCTTCCCAATGGCTGAAGCTGCAAGCAGTGCATGGGAAAAAATGACTTGACCAAGTTGATATTATCTAGGCTTTTTCAATGGTCACTCCAATGTTGCCACAATGTGCACCTGAATAGAGTGGCCATGGTGCAGAGAGGAATACTATTCATTTGTCAGTATGGTGGTCCACCTTTTCTCATGACTAATCTGGCTACTGATATCTTTGAATCTGACTTGCCAACAATAGAGGTCCACATCAAGCCCCCAATAAGGGACAGCTTCATCAGGAGACCAACTGGTTTCTTTGTACCAAGTTGACATTCGGCTACTTCTGTTCTGCAAAGGCCTTTCATCCATCCTTCTACTGATACACTTATTCAAGATATGAACTTGGCTTTTTTGTCTTCTGGTCTATAATCAACACTATTTGCTACTGTCTGGGGACTTTTCTGATTTCTTAACTGGAATGGAAATTCACAAACAACATAATATCTGATCAGAGGACCCACTTCATAGTGAAGGAAGTATAGGATTAGGCTCATGACCAAAAAACCCATGTACTGTATCATCTAGAATAATCTGTCCTCTGATAGCTCTGGAATGGACTACTGAACGAACATATGAGGTGCCAGCTTAACGATAATGCTCTGGAAGGTTAGGGTATACACAGGTCTGAGAACCAGAGGATAGAGGAAGGAATGGACTCAACATTAACATCACTCCCAATGACCCATGGGGGCATCATGCTTTCTTATGTATATCTCTGTGCTCTGTAGGTTGGAGTTCTTGGTCTTTAAAGTTGGTCTACTCCTGCAAGGAGAGATAGTGAGGGTCTCAGAACTAAAGGCAATGACTGCCACCAGGGCACTTTTTTCTTTTCTTTTATTTGGTACCAGCGATTGAACTCAGGGGTATTTAACCACTGAGCCACATCCTCAGCCCTATTTTGTATTTTATTTAGAGACAGGGTCTCACTGAGTTGCTTAGCACCTCACTTTTGCTGAGGCTGGTTTGAACTTGTGATCCTCCTGCCTCAGCCTCTTGAGCTGCTAGGATTTCAGGCATGCAATCAGGGCACTTTAGATTCATTGTGTTCAGGAACTAGCAGGTAAAGGGAGGAGTCACTATTGTGACAAAAGTAATTGGCTGAACAATTAGCAAACAGAAGTCAATGGAGATTTTTATACAATGAAAGAAGGGAGAATTATGGGTAGAATACAGGGTATGTACTTGTGACTGTCGAGTTATGATTGACTGCAGTAGGCCACCAGTGGAAGCCTGTGCAGATGATTTATACTCTAGGGTGCCCTGTCCTTGCTGCAGTGGCAGATGAATGGGGACTGAAATTAGGTCTTTTTATTGTCATAAAGACATGCACACTGGATTCAGGTGCCTATCCTGTCCTCAACTAAACAGAATGGATTGTACCCTCTACTAAGTTGTTCAGCTCAAAATTCCAATCATGTCTCTATTGAGCAACACTGCTAAGCTCTGTGGGATAGGACTTGTGATTTCTGTGCAATTGTACTCAGAGGATTGGGAAAAACCCTACTCAGAAATACAGAATGCATCTGACTGGATTGAAGCTTTCAGAAAATTGAACAGCTGAACAAAAGAAAGTGCATCTTTGGGTGTGAAGGTAAGATAACCATAATTCCATTTTCAACGGTTTATTTTTATTTCCATGTTTCTGCTAAAGAGAAATGACAAAAACTGAAAATTATACTGTCACTTGGTTAATTACTTTTGTGAC